AGGTGGTGGCCTTGGTGGTTAAACTAGAAGCAGAGCCCTTGGGGAAGGTCAGATTGTGGTCATCCTGGTTRCAGCCCAGCACTCTCCGGTCCCCTGGCCCTGCCAGTCCACAACTGATCTCTGGAGAAGGTATCCGTGGCAGCCCCTCTCTGTTTGGGCCTAAGGGCTCTGAGTTCCCAGTGTGGCCCGGGATCTGCCTCATGGGTTGATCTGTGCTCCCTGCAAAAAGACATATTTAAGTCCTAAACCCCAGTACTTCAGAAGAGGACATTATTTGGAAGTAGGGAGGTTGGAGGTGTCATTGTTTGAGGAAATACTGGAGTGGGGTGGTCCCCTGATCCAATATGACTTGCATTTTACAAGGAGACAGACTGGGTGAAGACGCGGGTGGGATATGGAGGTGTGGAGCTACAGGCCAAGGATGCCAAACTGATGCAAACCATCAGAAGCCAGGAAGAGGCAAGGGAGGATCCCCTACGWATTTGGGAGGGAGCATGGCCCTCCAGCAACTTGGGTTTGGACTTCTAGCCTCCAGAACCAACCGGGAGACGAGAAGTTGTTTAAGCCACCCAGTTCATGGTTCTTTGTCCTGGTGGAGTTGGAAATGAATGTCGCCTGGGCCCTGAGGGAGGGAGGAGCCTCTATCCTGCATCGGACCATGAGGGCTTCCTTGGGAGAGAGGCCTCTATTGTCGTTTGTCCCCATCATTTCTCCTCACATTCACCTTCTATTTCCATAGGCCCCTCTTCTCAACCTGGAAGTGTGTTTATTTTCCTTAAAATATCCCCTGGGAATGGGGACAGGAGCTGTTACTGGAAGGAAAGCTGTAAAGAGGGGGAGGGATAATTCTGATTTATAGGTGGCAATACTAAAGAAATGTCGTCATTTTTTTTTYYTWAAAAAAAACAAAACAAAAAACTACATTTAGAGCCCAGGAGTACTGGCGCCTAAACTTTTGCTGCCTCTTGGTGGCGAGACCCTTGTCCCATCCATTTAGTGACGTCAGAGCCCACCTGCTCTTGGCCCCTGTGAGGAGGGCATCTGAGGTACCTATAGTTAGATCCCTTGTTTCTGCTCCCCAGAGCCTCCTGGGCACCCACCTTCCTAGGCTGCTGTGCCCCCAACTGTCTGTCCAAATGACCTTCCCAGACCCTGGTGCCTTGGTCAGGTCCCTGCTTTGGGCTGTAGCGCTCATGGGTTGGGTTTTAGGGTGGGTGTCCCATCTTCCCAGCCAGCTAGCTCCCCAGGGGTTGTGTCTCACTCATCCTCACCCTCGGACCAGCAGGGCATGTGGACGCCTGAGCTCAGCCCACGGATGCTGTAGCCCGAGATGATGGTGCTGGCCGTGCAGAGAGGGCCTATGTGGCCCTATGCCACCCAGGGTCCCTCTCTTTTCTCTTGTCCAAATTGAACACTCACTGAAARCTGAGGAGGGAGTTGGGATACCAAGGGCAGGGGCCAGTCGGGCAGCCCCTGTGTCGAGCTGCCTGAGAGAAGGATGGTCTGCCGGCGTGGAGCACACAGTCATGGGGACGCAGCCCCGTCTGTGGATGCCGTGGGTTTCCCCACTCGCGGGACACAGGCTGCTGGAGAAGGGCATGCGGCTCTGACTTCATCCCTCTGGCCTCAAAGCCCTTGACTTGGCGTTTCCAGGGCCAGGCAGTACAAAGACGCGCTTCGGTGGCTTTGCTGCAGCCTGTGATTATACGGTCTGATGGAACAAAGTCGTTAGTGCCTCCAAGTTCTTTTCCTCGACTTCCAAACCCTCCTCCTGGACTCCTCTGTTCCCAGCTCCATCCAGCTCAGCGTCAGCCCTGTAAAGAGATCTTTCTGAGGTTTTGGTGCTCTGTGTGTGTGTGTGTGTGTGTGTGTGTGTGTGTGTGTGTGTGTGACAGAGAGAAAGCAAGGGAGAAATGGGAGTTGCAAGAGTGACCCGGGACACAGGCAGTCACAGGGTGCATATATCAGCCACACAAGGCACTCAGAGGAGGAGACAGAGAGCTTCCTACTTCCAAAAGCTTTGCCCAGGCGTGGGCTGCTGCGGGCTCTCGCTCACTGGGAAGCCAGGGAGCTCCAGTCCTTCCTCCTCTTCCTTGTTCCCACTTCTTGGCATCCCTGGAGCATTCTTCATCCTTCAGAGCGTGACCAGGAGCCCTACAGGTGTGTTCCAGGGCCGGAACCTGGAACAATGCTGTCCTTTGTGGGCTCTGGCCTTAGGGTTACATTATCTAAAGAGTCCTGGTATTTCTGGGCACTGCAGGCAGAATAACTTGGCTGCAGGTCCTTCTGTGCCCACCCCCATGAAGGGTAAGGCTGTTTGTGTGCAGAGCAGGAGATCTTCCACTGAGGGGATTCAGAAGTGCAGGTAGGGATGGTAAAGCCTCGGAGAACTGGCCACCTGATTCCATCTCCAGTTGAGAAAAGGGTCTTCTATGGAGGAGAGTMGGGAGGCCTAGATCCTCATGGGGTCTGAAGGAAAGGACATTGACAGACTTCATCTTGGTGCAGGAGGGAGATGAGCAGTTGGGTTAGTCAACTTTTTGTCACTGTGACTAAAATTCTGGACAAGAACAGCTTAGAGGAAGAAAAGTTTACTTGAGGGCTCACAGTTTCAAGATTTCAGTCCATGGTTGGTCAAGCTCCATTGCTTGGAGCCTGAGGTGAGGCAGAAAATCATGGCAGAAGGATGTGGTAGAAGAAAACTGTTTAGCTCATGGCAGCTGAAAAGGAGAGAGAGAGAGAGAGAGAGAGAGAGAGAGAGAGAGAGAGAGAGAGGAGGGAGGAGGCACCAGGGACAAAATATAAAACTCAAAGGCACCCCCCCCAATGATGTACTTCTTCCAGCCACAACATATCTGCCTATAGTTATCATCCAGTACCGTAGTCCTTTCAAATTATTAATCCATCAAATGGATTAATCCACTAAATTGGTTATAGTTCCCATGATATAATCATTTCAACTCTGAACATTCCTGTGTTAATATATGAGCTTTTGTGGGGTGGGGGTGGCACCTCATATCTAACCCATAACAGCGATAGAGCTTCTAAATGACATCCCAGGAAAGTGGCCAGGAGCTTTAGACTGTGGAAGAAGGTTGCTGGTTTCTGGAATCCCTGAGTGTCCCCACATTTGCCAGGACACTCCCCTGCATTCCACACCAGCAATGTGGCCCAGGTGCTCATCTTTGGGGATGTAAGGGAACAGGGCAGCTGGGGAGAGTGAGGGTCTCATCCCAGATTCCTCAAATGAATGGGCAAAAGAACAGCCACCACCCCTACCCCAAGATAGAGTGTGCTATGGATACTTCAAAAAGAGACCAATGTGCAGAATTTGGGGAGCTTGTTAGAAGGAAGGAAAGAGTCTTGGGGTGCCTGATCCATTCTCAACCAAGAGTGATGCTATGGTTTGGGTGTGAGATGTCCCCTAAAAATCTCAAGTGTGAGTCAATGTAAGAAAGTTCAGAGGAGAATGACTGGGTCATGAGAGTCTTAACCCAATCAGTGAATTAATCCCCCAATAGGGATGAACTGAGTGGTAACTGAAGTGATAGTGTGTGGCTGGAGAAGGTGGGAATTGGAGGTGTGGCTTTGGGTATATATTTTGTATCCAGAAAGTGGAGTTTCTCTCTCTCTCTCTCTCTCTCTCTCTCTCTCTCTCTCTCTCTCTCTCTCCTTTCTGATCACCATGTGAGCTGCTTCCCTCTGCCACACTCTTCCACCATGATGCCCCGCCTCACCTCAAGCCCCAAGGAGTGAAGCCACTTGTCTGTGGATTGGGACCTCAGAAACTGTGGGCCCTCAAATAAACTCTTCCTCCTCTACAGTTGTTCTGGTCAGGTCTTTTAGTCACAGCAGCAAAAAAAGCTGACTAAAACAGGTGACCCCCTAATCCTCAGGTTTCCAAGAAAATCCAGGCTGTGGTGTCCCCTGCCACAAAACCCACCCTCCCCAGCCATGCACCAGACTTCACCATCAGGAGGGAAATTCAAGAGAGACCCCGGCACTTGCATGGCTGGGCCTTCTGGCTGAGCTGTGGTAACTCCAGGACAGGCAGCTCTGGCTGACGCACAGCCATCTGTGGGCACTACCCATCAGATCTGAGCATTTTGCCTGGGAGAGAACCTGTATTGCTTTCTTCTGATTCCACTCTTTCCTTCCCCCCACCTACTCCCCATCCCTCCCTCCCCTGGCTGAGTCTCGCTGTCTCCTGGTCCCTTTGACTTCATATCTCTTCTGCCAAAGAGGTTCCAGAGGGAGCCCTTGAGGAAGTTGGAAAATATCAGCAGCCCAGGCTCGCCCCTGTGGGCTGTGTCACTGGGTACTTCCCTTAACCTCTGGGCCCGTTTCCCTGTCTCTAAGGGAGTTCCCAAGGCTCTTTTCAACTCTGGCCATTAAGTTACTGCTTCCATGGAAGTGAACAGGGTCGATGGAACGTGTGCTTGTCCCCCAAGTTTGGTTTTTATTGATAGGATCTCAACTGGGTTAGAGTGGCCACCCCAGCATTTCTGGACTGGGCAGGGTCTGATGAGAATGGCTTTGTCTCTGGAAGCATCTTCAGACATATCCTCCCCTCTACCTGTGCACAATCTCGTGCCACAGACAGGGCTGCTAAATCCATAGGTTCCCGATTGGCCAAATGAAGTTCAGCAACCTTGAGCCCTTCCCCAGGGGTCTGTGGCCCCTGGTGACCAGTGTGAATTAGTAGAAAGAGCACCAGTCTGCAACCAGAAGGTCTGATCATGAGGAAGTCCCAAGGCCGCAACAGTAACGATGACAGGGTCACACAAAGTATGGCAGGTGAGAGCAGTCTGCACAGGTGTAAAGCACTTAACTGCCACGGAACAGAGCTTCATCCTCACCTGCTTCCCGCCCACCCGCCACTGCCCTCCTGCACTGTCCTTCCGTTGGGAACTAAATGTGATCGCCCAGGTTATTTCTCTGGACAGAAGTAGTAGAGATGCTGCCCAGCGTCTGATGCCTCTTTGGTTCTTTCTCTCCAGACTGTAAATTCACCTGTCACCCGGAGTGCCGCAGCCTGATCCAACTGGACTGCAGTGAGCAGCAGGGCCCAGCCCGGAACAGACCCTCTCCAGAAAGCACCCTCGCCCCAACCTTTGGCCAGGTAGGCAGCAAAGCTCAAGAGCTCTGCGTTCTCTCCCGGGAGCTCTGGTGAGCAGGCTCCAGTATTCCATGTGTGCTGGATGTTGAGTCCCCTTCTGGCCACATGGAGGCATAGACACTGCCTTTCCAAGTGACAAGGGGCAGCAGTCTGCAGATACTCAGCAGCGTCCTCTATTTCTCCCAAGCATAGATTCTGTTTTGGCCTAGGGCTCTGATCCAGAAGTGTGGGTATGGGTGGGAGCAGGGCGGGTCCCAGAGAAGCCTCCAGAAGTTCCTTAGAGTCCTGAAGCAGTGGGGAGATGATGGGGCTGAAGCTTCACACACCATCCTGCCTTCAGACCATGGATCCTCACAGACCTTCACCTTGTCTGCCTGCCCCTCAGCCAGTCAGGCCAGCTCCTCTTCTGGAGGGACTGGGCAGATGTTCTTTCCCTGTGTCCAAGGACCAGAAAGTTGACTCCAAAATAGCTCTTGGTACTGGGTTTTGTCAAGGCACCTGGACTGCAGTGTGTCTGAACTCTAATGTCTAGGGTTTGAAATGGAGACAGAGGAGAGCATTTATTGATTATTGTGTGGAGCAGACTTTTATCGATTCTCTACCATGCGCCAAACACTGGTGGTAGGAGGGGTAAAAAATGATTCATCACAGTTTCCTTGGAGAGCTTATGTTCTGGCAGGGGGGTCAGAATACAGCCAAATAGTATATACTGTGACATAGGCATGATAAGACTCTGGACCCAAGTGGGTACACAGTGCAATTGTTTCTGCTGGGAGGAATCAAGGAAGGCTTCCCAAAGGAAGGATCTTTGATGCAAGCCTTCATCTGGGAACTGAAAGTTGCTGATCAGAGAAGTAAGGAGTGCTCCAGGATGTCATCCATTTACTCATTTAACAGATGTATTTTGAGCATTCACAGTGTGCCAGGCCCCAAAATGGTGATCATGGGGATGTACTGAATGATAAAGGAAAGAGATGTGGCGTGGGAGGGAGACTCTAAACAAACTCTAAGAGGGAAACTCCCAGGGTGCTGTGAGAGACAGTAATGGGAGACCTGAATTATGGGGGACTCACATCCAGTCCCAACTCCACATGTTTCTGGCCACAATGCACATGATCCACAGTGTTCAAGTGCCTGTTCTGCTCATGGGTGTTGCCCTGTTGTTCCCCCATGCCTTCTCCCACTGAAAAAGTGGAGCTAGAAATCAAGTATGACATTTGATGGATGATATTGAATGGGTCCAAAATTGTATATTTAAAAATTCAGGCCAGGTATGGTGGTGCACACCTGTAATCCCAGCAGCTCGGGAGGCTGAGGCAGGAGGATCTCAAGTTCAAACCCAGCCTCAGCAACTTGGTGAGGCCCTAAGCAACTTAGCAAGATCATGTCTCAAAATTTAAAAAAATACAGAAAGGGCTGCCAGGGATGTGGCTCAGTGGTGGTTAAGCAGTCTGGGTTCAATCTCTTACAAAACAGAACAAAAATTTCAGTACGTCCTTTCCAGACTTTGGAATAGTAACTATTTCTGCATAACCTGAAGGTAACCAGGCCTCTTGGRCTGGAACCTGTCCATCCCAGGAAGGGGTGGGCACAGCAGATGCCCAAAACACTGATGAGTGATATCAATTTTTCTGTTGTTTAGGGGATGCTAAGAGTAAAACCAGGGCCTTAAAGAAGCTGGGCAGGTGCTCTACCACTGGCCTATACTCTAAGCACAATAGTGTAGATTTTCGAAGAAGGTGTTCCTTAGATGATGAAAGAGGGAGGTTATGTGGCACCCTGCAGAGCGGCATCTGAAAAGCATATTTCAGTAACTCTTTCTTTTCCCAATTTCTTTTCTCTTTGGGCGTTTCCAAGTCTCTCTTCTCTCTGGTCTCCCAATCCTGCCCATTCCCTACCCTGGAGCCTGGTTCCACCCACTACTTCCTGGATCTCCTTCTTGGGGTTTCTATTCCTTCCTCTAGAACAGCAGGTCTCAAAAGAGGGTGATTTTTGTGCCCCTCCCTCTGCATGTGACAATGTCTAGAGACTTTTTGGTTGTCAGGGGATGCTACTGGCTTCTAGGCAGTGGAGGTGAGGGACATTGCTAAATACCCTGCAATGCACAAAACAGACCCCGCAACAAAGAGTTATCTGGCTCTAGATGTCAATCATCCTGAGCCTAAGAAGCCTTGCCTTGGAGCAGCTTAGCTTGATATGGTGGGCAAAAGGCCCCCCAGAAGATCTTGGGGTTTCCTGCACAGTGGCTCATCCTCAGAATGCTGGCAATGCTTTCAAATGGAGTATTTGGAAGTCGAGAAATCCCCTGTCCTCCAAGAGAGAGAGGAGACAAACTTGTAATCCTCTGGCAAGCTAAATCAGGGCAGTGTCTAGATTGGAAACATGATGGATTATTATTTTATTTTGTTCTATTTTTTGTGATGCTGCGATTCAAACCCAGGGCCTCCTGCATGCTAGGCAAGCTGAGCTACATCCCAAGCTCCTAGAATCATACTTGAAATGTCACAGAGGAAGGAGCAAGAATCCCACGTGGTGCTGAGTGGACCTCGGTCAGCAAACAGCCTGGCGTGATGCAGACTGCTGTGTTTGCCTTGGACAGGCCTGACCGCGTGCTTCAGCAGAGCTGGGGCAGGACACAGCCTTCTGTCAATAAAGCTGGGCCCTGCTCCGGGGCTCCCTTGCCTTTTCTAAAAGGCTTGTTTGTGCTGATTTCCGCCTTGGCTTGATTTTCTGTTAAAAATCAAGATAGAACTTTCCTTCACCTTGATGTCATCGCCAGGCTGAGTGAACCTCACGTGCTCATGTCATCCTGGGGATTTATTGTGGCAGAGGTCTGGATCRGAGCTCAGCTCATCCTGGGACATGTGACTCTTAGGAAGTCTCCTCTTAGTAGTATTTCTCCTGTCTGCTCTTTCAGGGAAAGAAATTCATTGATTTTTCTCCATCCAGAGAGAACCATTCTTCATTAACATTTTTATATGTCCTTCCTGTACATTCATACATTTTTAAAACATGGCTGAGATCATCCTGTAGATAATTATTTGGCCTCAACCTTTTAAAAGCAATAATCACAAAGTTCTGACCATCTTCTCTGCCATGGTAGGGGAAGGGAGGGATGAGGGACAGGCATGGGAATGGTAGGGGTGGCTAAGAGCCCCAGTGTACACTCACAAAGTCATGTGGGTTGGCCTGTCTCTCACAGGTGTCCAAAACAGAGGAAGGGTGGCTAGTAGCTGCCTCTGCTTTGGTGGGCCCTAGGACCAGTTGTTTTGCAGCCTCTCCTTGGAGCTCTCTGAGGTCTAGGCTGTCTGACATTTTCCTGGGCCCCATTGTGTGACAAGACAAATCTCCTGCAAGCCTACCCCAGATCCTTTTTTTCATTTTCAACCCATTAGCTGGAGAACATAATTGCCATTGGCTGAAGGTCACAATAAATTGCCCAAACAGTTGCAGTTCCTTTATTTGGGGACATACCCCAAAGAACTTGTATTTCTGGTGGTCTTCAAAGAGCTTTCCTCATGTCACCCTGTGATGAAGAACCCACTGTGGCTCCCGAGTGCCCTCACAATAAAGTGAGAACTCTGATGATCTGGTGCAGTCCTTGCATGGCTTCTGGGGAAACTGACCCTGAGAGAAGATGTCTTTGTCCTTGCCCACCACTGTTGATCCTCATCATAACCAGCTGTGGCCTGGGGGAATCCTGGAAGCTCTGTCCCTCTGACATTTGGTACCGATTTCCTCGGGAAATGGAATACAAGATTACAAGAGACAAACACAAGCACTCCCTTCCCCTTTCATTCAAATTCCCTGCAGCCAGGGACCCACTCCTCAATCCATAGTCTAAATCTGTATTAGTACATAAAACCCTTCATGGTTGGCTTCTGCCAACTCACCTGGCCCAGGTGCTTCCCCTCCTCCTGGCCCTGCAGAATGTACATCGGTTCCTCTCATGGCAGTTCCAAAAAGGTGCTCAAGCACTGCCACACATTGTGGCCATAACTAGGTTCCTCCTGCATTTTATTTACTTCATAATAATCCTTAAATAGACTCATTTTATTAAACTTAAATCAACTTGTGTCAAAGGAAATTTAAAAATATTCTTCAATCACTAATGCACTTAGGATTTTTCCAGATACCCATCGGATTAATTACTATTAATCAGTATTTAATCTCTAATTTTTTTAAAAAAAAGTGTGTCTAAGGACTGCCTCAGATTCATTTCACAAATACTAATTGAGCCAGGTCCTGTTCTAAGACCCTTGCAGGTGCCATCATGGGAAATGCTGCCACAATGAGGCTACTCTCTTTGGCCATCTGGTGCCTGGACTCCCAGGACACTGGCTCCAAGGGGTGCCTAAGGGACCGTGGGAGCCACAGAGAGAACTGGGAAGGAAATGCCAGTCACCCATACTGATACCATGGTGCCCTTCCAAAGGAGAGATGGAGTTGTAAGTACTGACAGGAAATAGAGAAAAGTGAAGACAAGCCACTCCACTGGATATGTAGGGCCCAGCCTTTTATATTACATCTGTGTTTGCATCTGTGTGTGTGTGTGTGTGTGTGTGTGTGTGTGTGTGTGTGGCGGGGGAAGGAATGCAGAGGGAGGGTCTAGAAGGTGCTCTGAATGGGGGACAATGAATTTCTTTCCCTGAAAGAGCAGAGGGTCTAGAAGTGCTCCAGACTGTTGGAAGAGATTTCAGCTTGGGAAGCGGAGGGAGTAGAAAGGGCTAGAGTCAGACTTTCAACTTTTATTATTTGCTTTTCTGCTGTTTGATTTGCAGATGACTCCACATGTTTCTAACGTAATATTTTCCAAAAAGCAATAAATATTGTCTTAAGGAAAGAACCCCTATCTGAATGCCCAAAGAGTGAGGCTAAAATCTAGACTGTGAAGATGAAATACTTGATTTAGGACCCAAGACGACTCTCCTAGTTTCTCTGTGCCTTGAGCTTCTCCTCTGAGAAATGGGACAGTCCCCAGGGTGGGTGTGGGGTTCAAGTAT